GAAATCTTTAACTTCAATGAATTGATATTTATGAGATTTTGAATTAAGTGCTTTCATTGAGAATGTGGAGCCACTGCGAAAATGTCTAAAAAAAATTGGGATGAATATAATGAGAAATCTATGGATAGAAATACCACAGAGGTAACTCTAAGACCAGAAGGTCCCGAAGAAACGTGCTCAACTTTTTGGCTCAGCTCGGTACTCTCTTCGGTCCCAAGCTAATCGATTCACCCCTCGAAACATAGGAAAATCTAAGAAACCCCTCATTTTATCTGTCAAACGTTCAATGCGAATCAAAACAAACATAGTGTAGTACTAGAATTTCAAATAGAATGGGGTACGCTTATAGATGTAATTGGGACCAATAGGCTAGTCAAGTAGTGAGCCAATTTAAAATCGTTAATTTCCACCGGTTTGATATACTACATAAAGAAAATAGGCTCTAAGCTCTTGCAGCATTGGTGATTTTCAAAATACAGAGGATTTTCAAGGGAATACTGAGAGCATTCTTAAGTAATTTTGAGGAGAAATACAATGAGTTTTATTTTCTTTACTAACCCTCTAATGAAAACCTGGAGTGCATTTATTTGAAGTAACGTACCGGTTTCACTGTCATAAGACCTTCAAATGGGATAAAGATAAGTTAAATTAAAGCTGAATTGAAATTAAATTCATGTCATACTTTGAGTTATTTTGAGTCCACTCCATGCAAATATTCTGTACTGCTAAAACTCATGAGTTTGATTATTATTATTATTATTATTATTATTATTTAACTTTATTATGGAGGCTTTCAGCCTTGGGCTGGTTCGCCTCCAAAGAGTTTGATTATTAAGAAATATGTTGCTTCCAGGAAATTTGATCAAGACCTCAAGGACTGCTAGATGAGGGCAGATCGATTCAAAATTCTACCGGTAGGTGGTGCTAGTGTACATGCACATATTCTGTACTACTAGACTTCCAGATCCTGATTATATAAGGGTTGTGTCTTAGGCCAAGCCGATCAGGAGCTCAATTGATCAATTGTGAATTCTGCCACTAGGCTAGTGAAGAAGCAAATATACTGTAGGTACTACCATAGAGGTAACTCTAAGACTAGAAGGTCCCAAAATAACGTGCTCAACTTTTTGCTCAGCTCTGGTACTCTCTTCGGTCCCAACCTAATCGATTCACCCCTCGAAACATAGGAAAATCCACTAACCCCTCATTTTATCTGTCAAACTGTCATAGCGAATCAAAACAAACATTGTGTAGTAGTAGAATTTCGACTAGTATGGGGTACGTTAATCGTTTGCTTGGGACCAATAGACTAGTCAAGTAGTGAGCCAATTTAAAATCGTTAGTTTCGTATTGATTGTTGGTACTACTGTATCTCAAGATCCCGAATATTTAGAAGGGATGTCTTCGGCAAAGTTGATCAGAAGTTCAAGCGCTGCTGGAACGTGAACAGATCGATTCAGATTTCTTCCAGTAGGCAGCCTAGTGGCAGAATTCAACATTGGTATTAGCCACTCAGCAGCCCTTGATTGGCAGAGGGACATTTCACCGAAGAACGTTTCGCCGAATGGGTCATTTCACCGAAGGTCATATCGCCGAAGAGCAAGCCATTTTCGTGAGGTTTGATCTTTTCTCAAAGCTCAGTAAATTTTGAAGTCAGTCTCGAAAAAAAGATTAAGAAGGTTCGATTTTTTTCAACCTGACAAGCTATTCAAATGGAATGCTTCCTTCTCTTGAACTTGAGCAGTTCTTTCGAGTTGTACTGATTTCGAATTTTTTAAATAACCAATGTTTTACATTTGCAGATACATTGTTTCCAGATGTGCTGATTTCAGAAATTTGTATATAATCAATATTCTTGATTTATAGGAAAGCTTCCTTTTTTTAAACATGAGCAGTTCATTCAAGTTGCACTGATTTTGTTATTTTCTAAATAATCAATACTTATAGGAATGCTTCAATTGGCTCTGCTCTCGTCTTTTAAACATGAGCAGTTCTTTCGAGTTGTGCTGACCCATTCAGCGAAATGACCCATTCGGCGATATTTCATTCGAAGAAATGTTCTCCGGTTAAACGTCCTTCGGTGAAACGTCCTTTGGCGAAATGACACAGCCTCCTCTTGATCTCCTGATCAACTTTGCCAAAGACATTACCCTTATCCATAATCTGGACCTTGAGATAGAGCAATACAGAATACTTGAAGGCTCACTAGCACCACCTAATAACAGAATTCCGATTTGATGTGTCCACCACCCAACCGCTCTTGACCTTCTGATTATCTTTGCCCAATACAACACCGGTATTTAGCCGGAATATTTTCCTGTGAGATGCTCACTAGCGACAGAATTTCGAATCGAACCACCAAGCAAGCCGAATAAGAGCGTCTTCAGGCAAAAATATGTTTCTTCAGCCAAAAAATGCAGCTTTTAACCAGCGCAAATTGTTTGCAGTGTTTACTCGGCTGTCAACAGAAGCAGACCACTCTCAATGTGTGTCACACGATCGTCTGCTTAGTCGGCAGCAACCATTGTGTGGTCTTCATTGTTCTTCATCAGCAGTTCTTTCAGTCGATGCGTCGTCGAATTTGGAAAGCAACCGTTTCGTGATGTATGTGTGAGTGCTGAACACGTTTTGCGTCCATTGCTGCAATGGAAGCGCTCTGACCCCCGTTGGCGAATCTTCCATACAATGAAACCACTGGAAGCGGGTCCCGTTCTGGTGGAGGAGGCTTATTGGATAGCGGAAGATACAATGTTTAATGTGTTGTACCTTTTGACTACAGTTTTAATCCTGATGAATGTCGGCGTCTTAGTGGAATACCTGTATAATGAGAGAGAGAGAAGGATTAGTAATTTCCATTTAATTCCACTACCTTATTTGCTTATCCTTGACAGATACGCGTATTTCGTCTACAATGTGCAGACTTCTTCAGTGTCTTTTACTTATACTCGACAATGTCTTGTACTAATTTGAGGATTAGTACAAGACACTGAAGAAGTCTGCACATTGTAGACGAGCCGGACCATTCGGGTGTAGACGGGTACAAGATTTTGGATGTCGGAATCCTTTGCTCTGCTGACGGGTACAATGCCGTAGAGAAGCCGCGAAGTGATGCTTGCCGAACCGATACACAACAAAGAGTCACGCGGAATCCTAGCCCCGATCATTTTCAGGAATCGCAGACTAGAGTAGCATGCAGTTTTAATTGTCTTTCAATGTTGCTTGATGATCTTCAGTCTTGTCGTCTTCGCTACAACCATCGGATCGATGCAGATATCGTTGCTGGGCTCCCAGCGGGCGTTTGGACTGCAATAGAAAATGTTACATGTTGTTGCGGAGATTTTAAAACCGACGCTTTTAGCCCACTTGTCGACAGCTCTCACCGCAGCTTGCAGATTACGATACAGAGGTTGCTCCTTATTCCTCCGAACTACGAGCAAGATATCGTCTGCATATATTTTGGTAAATTATCAAAATTCCAAATCTGAAAGACTACCTGTTACAGCAGAAGTTCCTCAGGGCAGGAATTGACTTCGGAATTCCCTGATTTGCCCTACTTACTTACTTAAGGGTCCTGTGCACCATCAGCGGTGCAAAGGGCCAACGTGAAAGACTTCCATCCTGGGCGGCTGCTCGCTTTTGCCTTGACCTGGGCCCAGGTCAGATTTCTATCGACTTGCTTAATTTCCTTATTGAGGCTCCGCCGCCATGAGCCCCTGGGTTTGCCTCTGCTGCGATGTCCTGCCGGATTCCAATCCAGCGGTTGCTTGCAGATCTCGTTTCCGCCCCGTCGAAGTGTGTGGCCGACCCACCTCCACTTTCGCTCTCGAATTTCTGTTGCTATCGGCTTCTGATGACATCGACGATGGAGCTCGGCATTCGAGATCCAGTTGTGAGGCACGAATTATATACCGCAGGCATCGGTTGATGAAGACCTGCAGCTTTTGAGTGTTCTCCGCTGATACACACCACGTCTCGCTGGCGTATAACAACACAGATTTCACGTTCGAGTTGAAAATTCGGATTTTGGTGCGTTGACTTATCTGGTTGGATCTCCATACGTTTCGTAAACTCGCAAAGGTGCCCTAGCCTTCTTGATTCGTGCACCTATGTCGCTCTTGGTCCCGCCGTCCGACGCTATTTGGCTGCCAAGATATTGGAAAATTTCGACCTTCTCCACTGCTTGCCCCGCTACCGTAAAGTTGGAAGGGTTGCCCGTGTTGATATCCAACGATTTGGTCTTGTTGACGTTGATGGTGAGACCCGCCGCAGAGGAGCGTTCGGCTAGATCATTGAGCTTACTCCGCATATCAGAGCGCCGTTGTGCTAGTAGAGCAACATCATCAGCCAAATCGAAGTCGTTGAGATGCTCCATGGTGATAGGCTGCCAAAGCAGCCCACGGTTCGGTACACGGTCAATTGCACCTACCATGATCTCGTCGATTATGATGAGAAACAGTAGCGGTGATAGTATACATCCTTGTCTCACACCAGCGACTACCCGGATAGGGTCGGACAAGGCTCCGTTATGCTGATTTGCCCTAGGGTTGCCAGAAAATCTTTGTTCGCCGATAATGCAGACATTTCCGCTAAAGGAAGAAGTCGTCCTGTTATTTGCAGCAGACGGCAGAAAAGTTTAAATATGTTCTCTTCTTGTTTGCAAAAAATGGAAGGTTTCTCTTAACAATTGTTTGAATAATTTCAAAGTCGTCATTTTTATTTTTTTACAAGATCCAAAATGACCGAATTTCAGAAAAAAATGTGAATCATTGCCAATGCAAAACAATTAATCAAAGTTTCATGCATATCGGATTTAGGTTGAGTTTTTCCGATTCGTAATTTGGCGTGGAACTACTCTTCTGTAGCGGGCGTCTTGCCGACTCACAACTTTGTGTTCTAGATACACTTCCACAGCTATTAATTGAGAGCTTTATATGCCAATCAATGCATGAATTCATATGTAGTGTGGCAAGCACAATGATGCTCTATGTCCAGGGATTTCAAGAAAATGTTCAACCCGAAAGATTTCTTCGACCGAACGGGAAATCGGTACTGACTAGGCAATCTGAGTTTTGATCTAGCAATTATCGCACCTCGGTTGTACCTCATTGGTTGCGAAATCGCCACTGCGCAAAGTTAGGCAATCTGATGCCCCAAGATAAATGCTACATTATGAGAGTTAAATCTAGTGTCAAGTTAAATTAAGAGTTTTAAACTTATGTGATACCATTATTTATTTTAAATCATCAATAATTAACAGTAGCTACCTTGTGTTGAAGTATCGGACGGTCGCTTACCTTATTTTTGAAACATTTTTTTTTATTTAGTTATCAAGACAGAGAAAATAGCTGTTAGCAAGCAGCATCAAAGAATGTAGGGTAAATGAAAGTCTTAATACAAATATTTCAGGAACATATTAACTCTTCGGGCACTGAACCATTTTATATACCTCGGAGCCCCAAACCTAAAATGAAGTCGACATTTTTTGGAGGTCGCTCACTGTTTTTGCAATATTTCCGTCATTTTTTAACCGATTTTCGATGTTTTGGTTTTTTTGGAAAGGGTATTAGTTTGCCTTTATTATGTTATAATCGATTATGTCATATAGTTCCGTGGCCACATCGTAAATTCCGGATTAATTTCTGTCGAATCGGTAGACAAGCCGTTTCAACAAGTTAGAAGTGATTGATTTATCCCATCGCAATTTTTCCTGGTAGCCTACAAAATTATCTAATAGATTGCACTATAGTCATTTTTCTATTTGAACTACTGACCAAGTACTAGCCGTAGGAGTATGATCCATGGGACTTTCAAAGGAATATTTATCTTTTAAAGTTGGACATGTCGTGCGATGCATGTTTCGCACAAACCCGATGAAATATAAATAATGTAGACTATAAGATATAATTTTGATCAATCTGGTAATGCATTAACATGTCGCAGATTACATAGGGAAGAGCACTACTTCCGCACAGGACCCATTTTCGTCGCCCCCGCCGTGTCTCGGATGTCCCTCAACTCGTTGAGCTGATTTTCCGTTTAAGTATAACTAGATTATGTTGAACATCACGTTCAAGAAATTAGCTCAACTGGTTGAGGAACAGTCGAGAGGTAGCGGTGAACGACGCAAATGGGTCCTATGCCTAAAGTGCACCCCACACGACAGTTTTTATTGACAATAATCATATTGTCAATACATATTATATTGACGTGAATATATCGATATTGACAATATTTATGTATTCACATCATCAATAATATTGTCAATACTTAGAAGTATTGACAATATTTATTACCGTGTGGGGTTCGCTTAAGCAGTGCTCTTCCTTACTTATTAAAAAAAATGTCTCTACATATATGCATTCCTACCCATACAGCGCAACCAAAAAGGTTTATCAACGAGGAGTTTTTACATGCAATTTCAGAACAAAGAAGAAAACAGCAAATTATTTAAGGCGATTCCTTGTAGAGTCCACAAATGGCCGCCACGTAGGCTTTACAAGCAATTCCACTAAAAATTTTCACGTTCACAAATCTCGGAAATTAATGCCTCATTTCACCTGAAATTACTACTTCGTGTATGCTGCAGTGCAAGAAACGAGAAGTAACAGTTTCATTGTAGTACGTGTCGTGGAAGCTGATATTTGTGCACTTAAAGTTTCGAAGTGGTTACAAAAAAAAAGGATCTCACAACAAATCACCTTAATAGAAAGGTGTCCTTGAAAACCCCCTTTCCTCGCTCTACGTTATTCGTAAGACGCAATATGTAGGGGACAACAGTCCAAAATGCACCCCGGGGCAAAACGCCCGATGCGATTTTTCATGGTATTCCCGTTTTAATTCATTAATTTGACAAGCCACAAGGCTAGTTTAGTACTTAAACTAGCATTTCGGCACAAAAAATCCCAGAATTAAGAGTGGAATAGCTATGAAAAATCAAATCGGGCGTTTTGCCCCGGGGTGCATTTTGGGCTGTTGTCCCCTATGCATGCATAGCAGTGGGTGCAACTTTGTTCCTAACGCGTTCTTCGGGGTACTGCCTTCCCCCGAAGAACGCGGTAGGAACAAAGTTGCACCCACCGCTTTCATTCAGTTGTTTTGTAACCAACCGATCTGATTTTTTGTATGTGATTAGTCTAGGGTGGGCACTGATCACATACAAAAAAAATCAGATCGGTTGGTTACAAAACAACTGAATGAAAGCGGTGGGTGCAATTTTGTTCCTACCGCGTCCTTCGGGGGGATACAGTATACAGTAGCTATGGTTTATTATATGTGTAAGCACGCTGCACAAGAAATTAGTACGCATTTCGAACTTGTTCAAACAAGACGTTGCCGACCTAGCAAGTGCTTCATTCATTTTTTCACAATGGATTCAGACACTGCAGCTGAGGAAGATTTTGAAATCGGCATCAATTCCGATATCGATTTATCTGACGTGGATAGTGTATGGGAGGAAGAACAAGAGGATCCAAAAGAAAATGACATTGTTAGCGCGGAAGAAGAGTTGGAGGATATAGCACTGAGCCATTCACAAGCGTGGTACGAATCAAAAACAGGTAAGTTTTAAGGCTACGTCATCGCAAATCGAATGAATTGAGAAAAAGTTTATCAAATGTTGTTGGACAGGATTCATATGGACGAAAACACCAGCATCCTCTGAAATATTTCGTGTTCGACCTCCCAATAAAGGATTGAGTGCTTATAGTCAGCATGTTACATCTATCATGGATTGTTTTAAATTATTTATTTCTGATGGAATAATTCAAAAAATTATTCGCTATACGAATGAACATGGACGCGACGATCCCAAAGAGAAAGACTGGAAGGAATTAACGGAAAAAGAGGTCTGGGCATTTTTTGGATTATTGATGATAGCTGGTGTACAGAAACAACGAAAAACACCAATAAAAACGCTTTGGACTACTGAATATTTTCTCCGCCAAGCATTTTTTCCGACAGTTATGTCCAGAAGTAGGTTTCAAGCCATTATGAGACATCTGCGATTTGATTGTCGCACTGATCGTAGTTTATTGCTCAAAAATAATGATCAGCTAGCGGCGATTCGGTTGGTTTATGATGAGTTTGTCAGCAATTGTATAAAAAGCTACAATCCATCCCAAATCATCACAATCGATGAAAGGCTAGTTCCATTCAAAGGAGGATGTAAATTTGGAGTTTACATGAAAAACAAACCTGGTCGGCATGGATTGAAAGTATGGGTTGCAGCAGATTCAGAAAATGCCTACGCCTGCAATCTACAAGTTTACTTCCCAGGTAATAGGTGTTCCTACTTTTGTAACATATATTGAAACTTTCTGGTCTTGTTATAGGGTCACATTTATTGTCAAAGACAACTCAAGGAAGCAGTAAACAGTTGCCGAGTGAAGTAGGAAGCACAACCAAATTGAAGAAAAAGTGTATCCGATCAAAGAAAACCGTCAAAGTTCTAAAAAAACCTAAAATACGAGAAGAGAACCAAGGTCGTCGAGTTGTTATGGACTTGGTACAACCTTTTCTGGATCAGGGAAGAGAAGTAGTAGTTGACAACTTTTTTTCCTCAGTAGATTTGGCAGAAAAACTACTTGAGAGGAAAACTTACTTGACAGGAACTCTGCGTAAAAATAAAAGAGAAATCCCGTTAGCATTTTTGCCTTCAAAATCTCGCAAAGAGCATTCATCTTTAATTGGGCACAAAAAACGGTTAACATTAACCTCATACGTACCCAAAAAGCACAAAGCTGTTCTTGTGCTGTCCAGTAATCCTCATATTCGAGGCATATCTTTCTCTGAAAAACATAAACCAAATATTGTATTGCATTACAATGCTTCAAAAGCAGGAGTTGATACTTTAGATCAGGTCACAAGAGACACGTCATGTGCCAGAATCACGTATCGTTGGCCTGTGCGATTATTTTGGGATATTCTTGATATTGCTCTGTATAATTCGTACATTATTTTCATTACCAAATATCCTGACTGGAACAAAAATAATTCTGGCAGACGAACGCTATTTATAAAATATGCATCTTATTTTATGGTAGAAGATTTCGTTACTCAGAGATTCGAAAAATCTGTTGCTGGTGGAATACCACTTGAATGTCAAGATGACATGCACATGTTATTGCAGCACATCGATGAAGTACGACGAAATCTGCCAGGATACTCACAAAATGCTGAAAATGACGCTCAGAGTTCTGCAAACCCTCCTGAAAATCGTATTTCTTGTGCAATATGTAGCAATCGTCGCAAATCTACAACCCTCTCATGTGAAACGTGCAAACAGTATTATTGCCAAAAACATCGATGGGAAAAGAAAATAATCAGCTGTATAAAAGACTGCTCATCAGATCGTAGAACACACGCCAAAAAATCTAGGAAGACTGTTTGCGAGTGCGGAAAACGAAGTACAGTAACATGTGTGAATTGTAGCTTATGTATTTGTTCAATCCACAGGAAAACAGAAGTGCAATATTTTTGTAAAAATTGCTATGTGGCTTGAACGGAAATGTATTTGGTGCATTATTATTTGTTTTTATCAGGACTGAATGATAAATAAAAATTTAAACAAACTAAACAAAAGCCACAAATCAATTGGTCTGAATGAATGAAATAAAAATTGGGGTAGGCTAGGGGTTAGGAGTTATTTATCTTTTAATAGTTTAAACTATTGGGGCATAAAAAAATAAAATTAAACATTTGACTTCCAAACCAGCTTCTACAACAGTTTGGTAAAAGCGTAACTCATGAAAAATTGTCTGAATTAAAAAAAAAATGTTTTCTTCACCGAAAAACATAAAAAACTTTATTTTTCCAAATGAACCCCATTTTTGAATTGTATTTTAAGATTTTATTTTCTGGGAAGTCAATTTAATTACTTACAAAGTTACAATATGGACGGCTTGCATGGGCACTTTTGCAGGAAAAAGTTTGACTAACAATACATTTTTCTGTCTCCTTTAAAAATATTCTAAGCAAATATAATTTTCATGCAGCACCCTCCCAAATTAGAGTAAAAATGTTGTGGATGAGAGGACTTTGAGAACGGGCACCAAAATATTGTATATACCTCCGAGCCACTAACCAGAAATTAAGTCGGCATTTTTTGGAATTCACTCACACGCGCACTCACGCAATA